GAAATTTATTGCGCAAGTTTTTTCTCATTATATTTGCATTACATTAACGCGTCGACGCCGGAAATAAATGCTCGCACGAGTATTTTTCGATTGCCTAGTTGGCGTAATTCAAGGTAATTTCGGTAATGATGTTACTATTACGCGATCGACTAATAATTACATTTAAAGAGATCGATATTACATTAAATCACGTGTGTTTCGAGCGGCACTTTGAAGGGCACGTAACTATGTAACATCCGATTCGCAATACGCATATACACGCGGCTATCGCATTAATTATCATTTTTATATCCATTTGTTCGGAATTTCCAATAATATCGAGTGGTTTTATTACGAGTCTGTTAAATGGGAAAGAAAGAGAGAAAGAGAGAGAAAGAATTTGGATTCAAATTGAACCATTTAAATCACAAGCAAAATTGTACACAATCATTACGTACACATATTTTATTTGTTTCAACTCGTCAACTCAAATTTACGTAAATATAAATTACGTGATAATTTGTAGACGGTGAAAAGAAACACATTCGTTTGCAGACAATCCTTCCTATAATAATTTTTATTTTTATGTCCCGTATTAGTATACAAAATAGACTAACGGAATATTTTCGTTAGAAATTAACACAGATATAATTATCATTTATAGCGGCAGCAAAATAATGTAAAAAGAACTCGCTAACTGACACCGAAAATGCCATTATCCGCTCTCAATTATTAATAGGATAAGATACTCATATTTGTGATTTACTTGCGAAATATTTATTGCGTAGACAAACGCTTCAATGCAAAATAATTTTAACGTAAAATTAACAAAATTGTTAATGAAATAACTAGTTCAACTGAATCGTTTCTTTGCGCAATGTTACTCGTAATTTTAATTGACAACGATATTTTACGACCGTCTGAACCGCATCGAATTAACTCGCCAATTATTTACGGAACGTTGAAATTAACACAACAATGGTTCTGACGTTCATTAAATATCGTTGTAATGAAAACATAGCGTTGATAATTTTTGAAAATGCGTTCCGTGAGTCTCAGAATTCTGAGGCTTTAATCCACTCTCTCGACAGGGCAGCTGCGACATGTTCGGCAGTCACGCAAATAACGACAGTTCAGTTTAAATTACTAATAGCGTGATTATTTAGCAAGTCGGTCCCCTATGTCTTGAGGCTGCACTTTTACGAATATGTTTAAATTCCAACACCGTTAAGCTAAAGGAATCTAGAAAGAAATACTTGCTTAAAAAAAAAAAAGAATTTCTCTCTTATTTTTTATGTAACGCAAGACCACATTTCTCGAGCGACCCCGGTAACCACGCTGTCGTTTATTAATTATTAATCTGATTGCATGGGTGCTCAACCGCTGCCGGACGTGACGCGGCTTTCCGTAGTTTCGCGAGCGAGGGGTGGATTAAGACTGCGCTCCCGCCATTGCGCGATCACGGGAGCGATAACGGAACACTAATAATCTCTGACAAAAACAGGATACAGGTTGCCGGCCATGCCGTGGAGCTGGCTAGGAGCGGCGGCGCCATCGGCGGCTACAGCTGCAGCGGTCGCCGCGGCCGCGGTGACCCCATCGCCTGCAGCTGCACCGCTCGTCCTTGCACCCAGGGCGGCGGCGAGACGGAGGTACGGATTGAATTAAGGATCCTACCCACATATACGCGCCACCGAGACAAACGTGTTGTCACATACGTTCAAAACGATACGCATAAACACCTCAAACTACCCCCCGATCAACCCCTAATCAGCCTCACCCTCTTTGTCGTGCGCGTCCCATCGCGAAATAAAAGATGGTGCTTGAACAAAACTGATTTGGACAATTTGAGAGGTCTCGCATCGCGGTAAAACGCGCTCGGTTCTTCTTGCATTTTTTCGAGATTGCCGAAAGTCGCTCTTGATAAATGTGCGAGACACCGAAAGCTTTTTATCGTCGTGCGCGATTGTTAAATTGTTTAAATCTGTATGCAATCTTCAAAAGTGTGCTCGTTTCCTTTTTCCATTTGTCGTTCGGAGACCACGCAATCGCTTCTTTCCTTTCGCTCGGTTTAATGTAATTAAGCCAGTTTTTTAAATTAGGTCACGCTGGGCAAAAATTCCCGTCCAATGTAATCTTCAAGATCTTTACGTACAAGCTTTGCATCCGGTTTTCTGCTATACGTTTTAAAGAATTGTTTTAAAAAATTATCAAGTATTCCCATGCAATAATCGGATATAACTTTAAAGTTTTGTTAAACGGAGGCATCGGAGCATCAGGTACGCGCGAGGTTGAATGGGTGCGAAAAAATCACATATTGGTCAATTATGATTCCCGAAGTGCATCAGGGAGTTAATCGCGCTGCGGCCGACGTTTCATTTTTAATGATCGGAATATTTTTCCCCGGGGAGATTGACTTCATTATAAGTCCATTATGAGCCGCGGCGAATCGCGAAATATCCGCGATTTATTTACGCAATACCGGTGTACGGTAATGCGCCGTTTTTCGATTCGCGCCGGTTCACTCATTACCGTGAATTCATCGTGGGACACTATATTTTACGCGTGTTATTCTTATCATATCGTGCGTAATACCGCTGTGATATATTCTGCCACGGTTTTCCGCGTGTTGCGGAATTTCGCGATCTCTCTGGCAGATCGCCGCGAAAAACCGATATCATAAATTTAGTATCGAACGACCGCGGGCGTGTGTCCGACGAACGACCATCCCCCGTATCCCTCGTCCACCCTTCTCCCCTCTTTCCGCACCCTCTCGTGTGTTCACTGTATCTCTTCTTTTTACTACTTGATAATTAATGTTGTCACCTTTCCTCTTCTCGGTGTACTCGTATCGACAGTGTAGCACACAGAGTGCAAAGAAACCCTTTGAATATTCACTTGTGCACGAACCGCAAAACCACCACCCGAATGCTCCGCCATGGTTGTTGCATTGATGCTAGTTGGACGAAAATACAATATTGTTCCTTCCTTCCTCTATTATACATGTGTATATTGTATATACAATCGTTTCTTTCCTTAGGGCACGCATATATATACATCGATGTTTTCCACCTAATTAGTCAAACTCGATCGGTTGTTTAGGGAGCTCTCGTTTCAGGCGGCGATCGCGATCTGTGGCCGGAAATAATCGCATGGACTTCTACTAATGTCTTTTATAACTAAATTTTGAAATGAGAATTTAATAAGTGATAAAATTGATAGCAAATCATTAGTTCTCGAGAAAACATTGAGTCGGTTTTTAAAAAAAGTTAAGAAATAATGTATCTAAAAGAATTGTGTAAGCCTGTCAAGTCACGAAAAATTTATTTCTTTTATTTTGTGTAATAATTTTTATTTACCTATTTACGATCATGCGCGCAGATGTACAATATGGATCGAAATACGTACGAGATGGAAACATTCTAGGTTACGGTTAGCTGAAGGGTTAATATTTAATCCGTAAGCTCATTGGTTTCCGATTAAACTTGCGCGATGTAAAGTCCATTTGTTTGCAACAGTAGTGCACGGAGAATTTACAATGGACGGTTTTAACGCCACGGTTTAACGGGAAACTTTCGTTATCGCGAGAATTATATTTGATTGCATGGACGCAACGTATGATTTCAAATAAGAGGTAGGCTGACCAATTGAATCGATGACGATGGCGTATATATTTAACTTTTTCATCATTCGAGAATGTAATCTTTCCGCTTTTCGCCGGGCTGCGTTATCGCCGAATTGTATTTTCCATAAATTCGGAATTTCTCCGTGCCGGCGCGGCGTGTCGGACGATCTGCCACCGCGTGCGCAGTCGACTAATTAATAGCCGCTAATTGGCATGTCACGCGCACTCGTAAAATTTGGCCGAAGACAGCGATCGTTCGGCATGGGTGGCTTTTAAACTCGTGTTCAGGATGAATCGAATGGTCGTGTATTGCAATCGTCGCGTGTATTGCATTCCTGAAATGTCAGAGTGTCATGTACGAACATTCTTTTTTTAAAAATATGTCGCTCGCTTATTTTGATTTAAAGTGAAATATGGATTTTGAAAGCGAAGTGCGACAAATTGTCTCACATTGGTCAGAATAAAATGACAGTGATGTTCTACCTCGATATTTTCAGAAATTTGACGTAGAAGAATGGACACAATATACTATTAGAGAAATTCATGAGAAACTCAAAAATAAATATTTCTCTCCATTAGTTAAAGAATTTGTCAATTTTGTAGACGCGATCTAAAAACCGTATTTTAGTAATAGAAGAAGATATGAATAGAATCCATAAAATGGACATATTTATACGCCGGCAACGTTGATTACTGCATTTCCGTGCCACAGATCACGCGAGCCTAGGAAAGTGGAGTTCGTGATTGTAACATCGGCCACCCCACACACAAACCACTCTCCTCTTTTTGGAATGTGCCTGCTATTTATGCATCACGCTCTTGTTCTTGACCTGCCTTTAGATAACCGGCGATCGAGCCGACCCATTAACCAACCCCCGTCGTTGATCGTTAACTTGCGTTTGAATTTGCGCTAACATCACGCGCGTTACCTGCACAGTAGGTAGTTGTCTGTTGAGGATGCTGTTGATGTGCTGCTCGTATAAATGAACCCACTAGTCTAACAACAATGCATATGTTTATTATACCTTCGGTATAATTTGGATTGTCAGCACTTTGAAGAGATGTACATTTTCACGATCATCCTATTCATTAAAAATATATATACGAAATAATTTTACGTAACACATTTTATTCGTGATTCACAATTCAACTTTCTAATTGTAAGTGACGAATTTTAGCTCAGCTATTTGATATGGATTTCATTATACATATATCTATATTCTAAATACACATATAAGATCAGTATACAATGAATAGATATAAATAGATTGTAATACAAAAATTTTTGCTGCATTTTATTTATCAAAAAGAATCTAAATGAAATTCATTTTTTAAACAAACTTTATTCTCTTCAAGGTGAATTTTTCGATGCAAACCGTGTATATAAATGAGAAAGCACTTGTTAAATCGCTCCATCAGCAGCCGATCCGAACGAGATGACTTGGTGCCAATGAAAAGGTAGGCAGAAATCGTCAGTTTTTATTGCTCCATCTTGGACCAGCCGGAGATGGAAAGTATTCTTCCCATTGCCGAGTTTGTTTTCCCAACATTTTTTTTTCTTGTCAGATATGTCGATAACTCAACGTCATTTGTCGTTTCCGTCAATACAACGGCTATTCATTAAAGTCACTATCCATCCATCAGGGCTATACCTATATGATTCTTCCGATCACATCATCTATCAACGCACAAAACATAAATTAAGAAATATCTCAGAAATATAATCCGTCACATAATAGACCGATAAATCATTTACTTTCCGGCAGATTGATATCCTTATCTAATGATACTCATAGTTCAGCCTAGCAACATTACAGTCTTTGTTCTAATTCTTTTCATATCTCTTTTCTAATTTAGAGAATTATTTTTCAGTGCAAAAGTAACGAAAGTATCATATTTTCATCTTGTAAATTATCTCGAATCAAGGAACGTATAATTATATCTCGTACGTTTTTCCTGTCATCTTCCGTGTCCAATTCTTTATCGTAAATTTTGCAATTTAAAATCTCGATTACTTTCTGCCTCCTCTAGAAAAATACAAGAATTGGTTATATAATCTCGTCGAAATTCACCGAGTGAATCTCACTGCCACGAATTTGAAATATATCACCGCTTGGCGAGAAAGCCCAGCAGTCACTGTTGTGCATCGTCAGCTTCCCGCGCATCCGCGCGCGGTCTTCCTTCCCCTTACGAAGATCGGCGTCGATCATGCAACCGGCATGCAGCTGCTCCACAATGTGGATGGATCGAGTCGCGACATCCACGTCGTCGTCTATTCAATTCCATCGGAAAAATATTCTCTTCGAAAACCTTTGTAGACGAGACCAACTGAGAAACAAGTCGATCAGTTTCGCGGAATATCCTACATTTGGCGTCCCATTCTTCGAGCTTTTTTATGCTCTTCCTCTTATTTCATTTTAGTAGATTCACAAAATCTCAATTTTTATCGAAGTGTGATAGACGCAGCTTCTATAGCGTCGCTTTCGTCGAAGCTTTGAGGATCTCAAATCGCTCGTATGAGCTTCGCTTCGAAACATGCGAATTCCGATTGCCACCCTCGCGAAAATCGTTCTCCTATACGTTATCCGCCAAAAGAAATTGTGTAGCGACCCATCGCGAGCAGATCGATGATAAAATGCGCCGAAAAATTGATCTAGCAGTAAAGGAGCAGCAGCAGTTTCTCCGGAGTAAATTCCGTTTCGCGAAGTTCTGTAGCCATTTCTTTCCTTTCGAGCCATTCCCGAGTGTCAAATGCAAGCGAAGCGGAGGAAGCAAACTTTTCTATTTTTGGTTCTTCGAAGTTCCCTTCGCTCCGCCACACTCTCTGTTCTTACGCCGCAAGGTTCTCCGGTGTTTTCTCCGATGTTCGTATTTACTTCTCGGGCGCAATTCTCCAAAGCCAATCTTTGATAGGAAGAACAAAATTTCCTGCTCTTGCCGCAGCTTCTCTTAGAAGGCGGCTTTCTCTGGTAAGCTTCCTCTGTACTGGCAGGGTCAGATGCGTTTGACAATGAATCGTGCTTGTTTTTCGCATCACCCCTATTGTACACACATTAATAAGCAGGATCTTTTACTCCAATTACAGTTAATAATCCTTTCCTTTTTTTATTATGCACCTCATCATAAAATTTTCATCGATATGGGCAAACTTTTCAACTTTAAATTGTAAAAGTACATAAATCAATACGAAAGTTTCATTTTCCAGATAACTAAATTTGTTATTTAATTAATTATGTTAATTAGTTATTTAAAACATTTAAGTGATAACAAATACCAAGTTTTTATTAATTTTCTGTAAAGAAGAATTGATTAGAAAAATTTATTTAAAAACTTATCGAAATTTGACAAGATGAGAGTGCGATATCCCAGATGGAAAGGGAGAAACTCAGTCAAACGACCTTAAATCAATATTGCGCTTGTACGAGTTTGCCGAACGTGCTGACTGATCAGGGAATAAAAAATTTCTAGGTACTCTATAAATTTTTTACTCGGCAAATTCCCTCGCGACAGCGAAACGAGCTAATTCCCAAGCGGAATATCGATCCCTAAGTCTCGTAACCGGGTATCAAATCAAGCCGCGAACCTCGTCTCGCCGGCTGTCGATGTTCGCCGCGGTTCCTCGAGGAGCAACCTGGAGTCCTGGTCGGAGTGGTCGATAGCAACGTAAGTCCCCAAGGTAGGCGACCTTGTGTAATTGTGCATGTGCGCGCGCGTGTCGCGTGTGTGTTGTTGCAGCTGCGGCACTTAGAGGAGTCGCCATACAACGCGGCCGAGTAGGAGCGGCGAGGGCGACTTTTCCAACCAGCGCAGCCGCTCTGGCATTGGCCAGGAATCCAGGGCCACTAGCAGCTGCTGCCACGGCCCTGCATCCCTTCGCACAGGCGTAAGTATCGGTCCAGATCAGGTTGCGTCTAACCAGCGTCCAACCGGACGGAGGTATTCCCCGTACTTGGGAGAGAGTACTCTGTCAAGCGTTCTCTAACGGCGTCTTAAATTAAATTGGATCATGCACGTGGCATTTCACAGTAATTTAAGACGATCGTAAATTGACGAGAGATACCACGAGATGCAATCGATGTGATATTGCACGTTTCGGAAACGTGAAACGGGGTTAGAAACTGTGCTATTCTATCGAATTTGTGTTCTACTCTATGCTTTTTTTTAAATAAAATATCGACAAATGCTACGTATCTCTACGGGAATACCTCTACGCGATCAAGACCATGCAGCCATCTTAAAAGAATGTCTTTTATATGTATATACATCTGTTTATATGTATATATATCTGTGTTTTGACGCTTGTTTCGTATCCTTTGTACGTATTCTTTTTCTTGGTGAAATTTATCTTGCAGCGAGTAATTAAGAGCGCACCTCGAAAAATACTTTCGCGAAGTTGCGAAACTTCTGCGAGGGTTCCGTTGAGCGATAAAAACGGACGTGTGGTGTAACGACGATAATTAATTTACGTAGCCGGGGTGTGGAAGAGGTGCGTGCGTCGCTGAAGTTTCGGAAGACTTTTTCGCGATAGCCTTTTTCTTCTTAACGATCAGTACTTACGTAGTTAGCGTGATTTATATGCCAGTTCTTCCATGCAATAGAGTTTAACTCGTGATGAGTTTAAACGTTAAATCGTGATGTTTTCGGTCTAATTACATTATTTATCTTTGATTCAATATATAATATATAAACTTGTCTAGATCTAATCTGATCGAAGGATCTTTCTTTTTCAAGTACAAATTATGTTTTCGATAAATAATTTATCAGCGATCGAATTCTCTTTTTATCCTTTCTCAAGTTAGCGGCGTATTAAAATTTTAATTTCTCATAGATATTAATGATCGTTGATGTAAACAACTTTAATGACTCGCCAACGGTCATTTAAACTGTATCGCGAACTGGGGTACGGGAGTATCGTCGAGTATACACTACATCACTTTATCGCGCGTTGAAGATTATCGAGTGATATCGAATACGATCGGGAAAATTACTCGCTGCAATGAGTTTGCACGCGCCGCTCGTTAAGGCTTTGTCTGTCAATCTCACTGCGTCTGCACTGCACGTCTACCATCCCAAACCTATACCTCCCGCACAAACGCTCCCGTATAACTCTGCGCACAGTGCGAATTATAATTTGCGAGAGAAACGCCCGCGGTTCGTTCGTTTCTCTCTAAACGGAGACTTAGAACGAGCGGGAAAACGAGGGACGCTTGATTGCTTCCCCGCGAGGACGATCAAAGGGTCAGGCAGGAAAAAAGAGATTCGATTCCATGGAACTGCGCTTTGACCGATTAAAAGATTAAAACGCGACTGTCGGATCAGCGCGGATTATCATGTCGCGGTGATCGCGCACGTTTTTTTCTATTGAAAATCAAAAATCGTAGGATATAGACACTTTATCTTTTTTATTCTTTTTTTTTTTTAACTTTTTTTTAACTTTTTATCATTCCGGATTTTTAGGCGCAAGCATTCGCGTTCGAACCGTCAATCGTTCGTTCATTTTAACGTTACGGAATTGGACATGGCGTTGGCAGGAATGAAAAATTTGAATATGGACGAAAATCAATCTTCGAAGCCTGTTACATCGATGCATGGCCCCGGCCGCGAAATCGGATTTGTCAAACCCAATATCTATATAGTTATGCATTTTAATTTAACGCCCGTGTCGTTTCATTTATAAATCCAAATTATTAACGTGAAACAGATTTATAGAGAAAGAAATGACGTCGTGTTTTATCTTGAATTCGCGCACATCGCTACACAGAACGTTAACGGGTTTTTTTTTTCACATAAATGTAAAGTGTACTTCGTAAAATATTCGAATAATTTCGAGAGTGAGTTTTTTGCGTGTAGAGAAATAATGGAAACGGTTGAAAGAAAGTTCAAGTATAAACACATTTATTCTATTTAACTTGTTTACGGTCGTTTCTTTTAGTTTCAGTCATTTTTGGCATAAAACTCGGAACTGCAGGGTTTATAGCTATTTACATATACTGTCTCATCGACCTCGAATATCGTATCGTCTGTTTGTAAATATCTTCGGGATATTTTGAAAATCAATCCGTTCTTTTTACAAAAACACATTTCTATTTCCGACGTATATGATTCCGTGATACTTTATATTCGCAACGATAATGATAGCGTAGCAAAATGGTGTCGATAAACTTGATCATACTTACGAAAATTTAAATAACATAGAAGTAATATATTTGTTTTTCGAATTCAATATTGACAAGGCAAAATATATATACGTGTTTATTTTATTCTAAACCAATCCCCATTTATCAGACGCTATTCATACATAGTCCAAGTGATACACCATTTTCGATTATATATTTATATTTTCTGTATATCAAGAAGAGTATTAGTATCGAACTGTGAAAGATACTAAACAAAGTCGGAGAGAATGAACATTTATTTGCGATTTTTTATCGGTACGTGAAGTCTCCCTTCTGAATACTCACTCCTGAAGTTATTCTCGTATTTTACAAAATATCCCGTATAATGTATCGCGTGATAAGTAGGAGAGACCAGGGATAAAAATTTGGTTCGATTTTGATGAAAACGTGTCGATATGGACAAAAACAACTCTCAGTCACGGATATATTTATTTGTGTGTTTTCGCATCTATTATACATTTGTCTCTAATCTCCCCTACTTCGTTCCGCAACTTTTTTCATTCCTGACAGTCTTCAGTCAAAACGAAGAGCGAATTCGCATCCCATAAAGTCAACGAGCTTTTCTTCTCCGGGTATTTTAAAACAAGATTATTACTTATTCAAGTTAAATAGACTTTTAACAACGATCTCCTCCAACGAGAATATAATAATGGGAGCGAACTACTCATAAAACTAATTCCATTGCAAATGCCTCTGTGCGGATGCAATATAAAGCAATCAACCTTTTCCTCGGCATAATTTATGATCTTCGCGCATAAAACAAACTTCGCGTTGTCGCGTAGTCGCGGGAGACAAAGTTTATCGCCTCTGCCGTTCTCCATTATTCTGCAAAGCGGGGATTATCGTATACCAGAAATAAATTTCCAATTTTATTCCCGACCGAACGCAATGTTTAATACGCGACGTCTATTAAACGAGCACTGTGCATTATTGAATCAAAAGATTAAAGATTCTTTGTAGTGACAGCTTTTAACCGAATGTCCCTATTGTATTCAATATTAAAGTCTTTATGAATACTTTATACACGCAAAATATCGAGACCATCGAATTTGCAAAATACATTGTTTTTTTTTTGTCAATGGAGATATTTATAAATAAAAGGTATTGATTATATCCTTTTAAAGAAAAATTGGACGCGCGGTTGCAACGTTAATTACACTTCACAGAGAAAATCGTAAAATTCGAAATTCGGTAATCCCTACGAGCGCAGTGGCGAACAAGCGGATAAAGTCGTTCGTACTCATTGATAATTTTTATTTTTTACAGTGTTTACTACGACCCCTTCCTTGCGGCTCACGCAGCGACGCAGGATCCCAACTACAGGTTGCAGGTGAGATATTTTTTCATTTCTGTTGATTCCCGCGAACGAATATTCTCCGCTTCTGGTGCACGCGACCGCAGAGAGAGGGAAAGAAAGACAGATATCTGCGGCTACCGAGACACGACATATACTCGAATGAGTTTTTAATTAAATCGAAGAATACAGTGAAACGCGCGCGCGGTTAAATAGAAACGGCGCGATAAGCAATCACGTCGCGATTGCCGACTGATAATCGGCTATTAATCGGAAAACAAACCCTCGCGAACGTTGACGCGTTTTCATTATATTGCGCTACGCGGACATCGAGCGGACATAATTAACCGGGCAATCGACGGACCATCTCCGCCGATGGAATCGATACAAAGCGTTCGACACAAGCTTGCAATGTTCCGATTATGATTCAATAAAACTTTACTGATAGATTTCTTTCACTAATTTTTTTTGCCGACGTTGTTTCAATAATATGTAAAATAAAAGAATTTGTTAGCGAATTTGTTTAATTCTACATGATTAAATATACTAAAAGTTACCTTCAAACATCGAGATTTTTTTATTACATATTAAAAATATATCTCTTTGTATTTCCTTGAAATAGACTGACTGAAAATAAACATCATCAAAATTAAACTCATTGGTAGAACATTTTTCATATAACTGTACCAATAATCGTGTATAATATTCAAAGCACTGTAATGTCTCGTAATGTCGTAGTCGTTGCGATGTTAACCGCCATTTTGCAAGCCCTAAATATTCTCGACGGTAAACGTAGCCCGCTCGAAAGAGCAAACGGGAAACGCTTATTCGCACGTGCACCGGAAGCGGAATGCGCAGTATCTGTAAGACGAGACACATGAGCGCAGAGATTTTGACTAAAGTCCATAATCTCTTGGGTGGACCCGTTTAGCTGGAATGGCCTCAAGCAACAGCTGACGTTAGTTGACACACATTTTGCCAGGCTTGCACATACGAGAGAACGCCGAGAGAGAAACCGATAACAATTACGCCATCCCTATCTCGCGTTCTACATTGTCCCGACTATTCGCCATTCTCATTGTATCTCATTTTTCGCCTGTCTCTTTCGTTCTCTTCCTCTTTTTTTCTTTTTCTTTCACTTCATTCATGTAAAAATCCCGATGCATCCGGCGGCAGGATTAATCGAAAAAAAACGAGCACTGCTAACTGGTCGAGATGATTATTTCTGTCCCGATGATGCTGTCTCTCCGACACCATTTCCGCGTGAATGGATTTTGCATTCGACCGTTTTGTTGACGTTCTCTTTGAAATTAACTTTTCGTCGAAAAATGTCGAGTTTCAACAGCTACAACTATAACAGATTACTGTTATAGATAACGAATAGCATTTCTATTCTTTTGATTCTAATCGCATTACTAATTAGAAATTCTTCTTAATAAGAAATTTAATTTAGTAAAAATTTAAAAAATTCTGAGTGAATCGATAAAGTTAAGTTTAAGATTTCAATTTTGCAAAAACGCTATAGCAATATAAGAAGTAATGTCTGCTAGATGTTTTTATTAATTAACATAGTTGTTTTTTAACATATATTAATAGAAATATCTTCCTAAGTGAAATTTTCAACAAGAAAGAAAAAGGAGAACAACAGATTTTAAAAGCTGTATTTTTTAATATTAAACATTTCAAGTGTACTATATTATCATGTATATTAACTATCGGATTTGCGATTTTCTTAAGACGTACTATCTTGAGATGAAACTCATTTTTCATTTATATGAGAATACTCTGCCATCTCTCAATGCGGCATCTTGTTGCATCTTGTTTGCCTAAATGCATCTTCATCGTGCACCTTCGCGTCGTCTTTGTCCCCGTTTCTCCCCTTTTACATTCTTCTCCCATCATCTTCAGCTGTTTAAAGGGATGATTATTAATCGACGATATACGTAATCGCGAGAGAAAAAAATATCGTTGGATAAGGATAACGTTAACATGCGTCGATTGTACACAGAATTTTGCGTCGGAAACGGGAGGGTGGGCTTAAAAGCGAGGACTTAATTCCCTCGTGTAAAAACTCGAGCTCGAGTTTTTCGCCGTCCGGTATCCTTCCGGAATTTCTTTTCAGGTTTGCCGTTTGTGTTTCAGGCTAAAGCGCCCGCCCTGGAGGTAGGAATTAAGGGTCCGCCTGTTCTTCTCTCGTCTCTTCTCCGTCTGTTTTATCTATACACATCCCTCTTTCTCTCTTTCTCTTCAGTCTGTTTTATTCAGTCAGTTCTTTCTATGTTCTTTTTACGTTTCCGTTTGTTCGCAAGATTGAAGTACTCACCGATTGTCGGCGACTACTTAGTTAAACGTGTTCTCAATCCGCTCTTTGCTATATAAAAAAAAAGAAAAAAAGAAAAGTCCTTTCCATGAAAATCTCGCTGTAACTTTTCCTCCGGTGGAAGGTTTAGGGGAGCTGTAGAAGAGTGTTTCAGCTGACGAGGTTTTTCTCCTCCGACCATGTTGCGTTTTTTTTTCTTTCTTTTCTGTGATCCTCGATTGATATATTAGCGTGAAGACAGCATGTAATGTCGCCTTTTTCAGTCAGTAGAGCATGCGTCAGCACAGATCTAGAAATACGTCGTAGGAAGCCTATATACAAGTGGAGCAAACATTTTGTGATAAATGCACGCAATTAAGTGTGTCGTTTGGAGTTCCTCAATTTTGAGGGAGCTTGGTATTATGCGGTAGACAAATGACGTAGGCATCAGGTTTCGTGTGATTAGAGCTACGCTAAGGTAGACGGTAGCCATGATTTGTACTTTAATTACATGGTGTTGTAGCGAAGTTAAACACATCACAGTGAAAGTATTTCTTGACAATTAATTAACTACGAAAGTCAGGGATCTTGAATATTTAGCCTTAAATTAGGGACTTTAAGCACGATCGAAGATTCGTATTTTTGAAAGAATACTTCAATTATGGGGGAAAATATTCACGATCAGTATTTTATTACATTGCCGTATCAACGGAATGAGCTTTAACTGCGTATTTAGAACTTATTCTGAAGATCGACATGACGTAATCGAGTTCGGTTAATCTATCATTCTGAGGGAGATTGTCTTACACCGAAAATATGTCTACATAAAAATGTATAATGTCTATAAAACCTAAGCAAATGACACGTATATCACAATCGTAAATGTACACAGGCTGCTAGATATCAAAGGGAAGATCGTTTTGTAGTTATGAATCACTGAGCAATGACCATTTTGTTGGATGCATTATACACACGAATAACTTACTTTACGAGAGCATCACTGGCAGACATCTCAAAAGTCTTCCGATATTATGGCATTATTGCGCAAATGCCTTGTTATGAACGTCGTAGCGTCAAAATATATTGCTACAAGAATTTTCATGTCTCCTGTAAAGAAATTTATTATAAATATATCGAAAGATTGAAGCGTCTTTCGCGCCAAGAATGCTCGCGCAAATTCCAAGAGAAATTTCAACCTTAGAGGAGTAAAGCAACGATGTTAAAATAATATAAAACTATTATTGGGCCCTATATTTGTAGAGAAATAACTAAATAAATTTTTTATCTTTATTTGCGAACGATAAAATTCAACATACTGTTTACAGAACAATTTACAGAATTGCAATTATTACTCTTTTGTCGCTACAAATTGTTTGTCAAACAAAAATCAATGTTGAATAAATCGTTCCTCGCTGAGGTTGTGCGAGTGTAAAAATAAGCTCAGTACCGTGTGTGCACGTAAACAATAATAATCAAGAGCGATTAACGAGGCGTTAATTGGCGCCAACGGGAAAATGGGATTTTCGCGTCCAGTGAAAATTCGTGATCGGAAAGCGTAAACGGTGTCTTCAAACGAGCTCGGTCATAAATTGTTCAGGCGTATGCGTTGAGAATTTTTCGCGGCTAATTTGGACGGACTCTCAATCTGTGAATTCGACGGCCAGCAAGGCTCCGTCAGCCGCGTGTTTTCGTCGGTGGCAAAAGCCACCGTTCGTACGAGAATTTACGACCCGCCCGCGTAACAGAGTCGGCCCAATTGCCAAGCTCTTCTTCGACTTTGTCGAGAGACCGCCGTAAATCAACGTCATAGAGGAACGCTTGTCATTTAACGACTGACGGGTTCATCCTGGCCAGATCTGCGCGAGGATATTCGTATGTTAAATGTCAACGGCATAACGCAAAATCGGTCCATATATTCTAGGTATTTATATAAATTTTCTGCATTTTCTCTTTTTTTAAGACAGTCATCGTAAAATTTAAATTTAAAGTGTAAAAGATCTTTAGGAAAAACATATGAATAATTTATATGAAATGGGGTGTATATAGAAATATGACAGCTTGTCGCGCGTATCTTAAATATATAGTAATCTTTATAGAATTATGATTATTATAGTCCGCCAGATTTAAAAAAAAGAAAGACTTGTGGTAATAATTGTATTCTATAACTTTTAATTTCGTAGAAATTTAATTTTCTATTACAATGATAATTTTACTTTTATCACGTCAAGTATAATGTAGATTGTTCTACGTTTATAAAAATACGAACAAATACAGTTAATATTTTCATGAGTAGCAATTTAATGTATAGAACGATTAAACAACATCAAGAATCAAGATCAGCTTTGGAAATCGTGGAAAGTTCGCTAAGTGTTCAGCTTATTTAACTTTGGTCCGATAATAATTAGTTCACCCACGTTTTTTTTTTAACTTTTGTTTCTTTTTTAAGGGAATTGAATGCCATACCCGCGAAATATTTCGAAAGTCTTTTCGTTAGTTAGCCCTTAATTGAGGGCTCGTTGAACTTGCAGAGATGTTTCAATCAGCGAGTAACATATGTGTATAAATAGACCGTGTATTTGTATACTGTAATTGGCAAAAGATATTCTTACCTTCTTGTTATTCACCGGATATTTTTGTAGTCGCAAATAAAAATTAGACTTTTAGCACTTTCTTATATTAATATATATCTTAACGCTAATAAAAGGTATATAAAGAAAGAAGAAGAGCGAAGAGATGAAGAATCCAAGTAGCTCGAAAGAAAACATACCATTCTCTTCTTCTTTCGTAACTACTGTAGTCTTCAATTATTAAAATCGATTAGACGCTCAGAATTGCAGTTTTTATTATTACAACGTGAAATGTTCGCTAATACGCGCGAGAAAGTAAAGATGTTAGAGTCAACGTCGCTACAAATTTTATTGATAATAAAAGATAGCAATCATCACTGAATAACATTTTTAATAATGTTAAAACAAAACAATGTGTGTGTGAATAACATATTTACTGTTCTTCTGTTGGAAAATTCTAAAATTGATAACAAAGCGGGTTACACAATTATATTCTCTTTGCATTACCAGACGTTACCTTTCGTGCATCCAAGCGCTAAGCAAAGCTTACTTTCCACGACCTCCGTCACCGTTAGGATTTAATTGTTAAGCGTTTCACCTGTACCACAATGTAAATAGAGGTTTCGAGTCTGCGGTTACGCCGTTTAACAGGCCACCTCGGACTAGGGCGGAAAGTACGAAGCGCGAGAATGGACGTGACGCGCGACGCGAAGAAAAAGTACTCCTCGCGAGTCCGACCACAACGAGGCGCTGAATCGACGTATATAACTGCGAGATAAAAAGCTATAATCACCACGGTGATTTCGCACGTGACAAGACCGTTTTTTGCCGCGATCTCGACACTTCCGGTCGGTTGCCTCCGGAAATTGAATTCGCGAGAAATTATTGTCCCCTTGTTTCCGACGATATTTCATCGAATCATTGTGATCGTACACGGAAGGACTTACATAATTTTCGCCGCGGTAGGATCGAATCATCGTAGGAGGACCACACGTCCGTCGCGCCGCCCCTTTGACGAAGCCACCACGTATTTTGAACAGTTTGAGAACAAAATTTCGTCCGAGAAAATCCGCGGAGTAATTTGGCGCCTCTCGCTGCGCTTTTCAATACTCGTCGTCCTGTTTTCTTCCCGGTAGCAAAACAGCTCGCTCGCCGCGTTGCCCCATCTACCCCCCCTCGCTGTCTTTTTTCGTGACAAAATGTCGAATAACAACTCGTTCCTGACCGCCGAAAGTTTCTGGCGCCGACCAAATCGTGTTTTCGTCGCGATACGTGAGCCGGCCAAGCCAATTCGCGCTGCAAATCGCTGCTTCCAGCCCGTTATTCGCTGCGATGTCAAAATTTATTGAACGCTCGATAACACTGTCGTTCTTGCGGAGTTACGGGCGACTCTGTGCGAAAATTTTATTTTCCGTCTGCTTTATTAACTCGTTGTGCACTGCACGCAGAATATTCTACTCTTTCGTCTAGATTCTTTGATCCAAGAAAAATGTCTTCTCAGTAAAAGTCATATCACTTTTCAAACTTTTCAATTTTCAAATATCTGCTAAAGTATTTAGCTATTAGTTTTAGCTATCAAACCTCAAGTTAATATTTTAAAACTTGAAAATTTTTAATTTTATAGATTAATTGAATGCTAATTAATGCTAATTAATGCTTTAATATTTTTACTCGGTAAAACTCGATTTCAAATTTTGTAAAGAACTTATAAACGAATTGTAGGTAGACGTTTCAGTATTGTTGGATTAATTTTCATACGATTTCTTCCATTAAACAATAACGAATCCTATCTGATTAGCGACGCACGATGGACAACGCTCAGACTATGACATTCCTTCATAACTGCGAACAACCTGCAGATTTAGTATTCAGAGAATTTCTGCAATACACATTGCTTTCCTTTTATTAATTATGAAATAACTATATTGATCAGTGCGGACGGTAAAATAATGCTTGACGTTTCGAAATTATGAGTGGCAGTGCTATAATATTCCTTTTGTATTGTCGGTCTTTGTGTTAATATTGAGGTAATGAAATGATAATTCATCTATTTAATATTTAAGTGAAGTTTCATCGAATAGCTAATATTAAATTGTACATAACAATCACAATTTTACATTTTACATAAATGATGACTTTTGTTTTGTCAGCAATTTACGTGGAATACAGATTTGTTGGCAAATTTATCCACGCGGCAATTTTTGATTAATTTTACTATTCAATCTTAATTTTTATCGTGAAATATTCGGCTACATAAGTTTTAAGTAAATTCTATGGAAAAACAAAAGTCATCATTTATGTAAGATGTAAAATTGTGATTGTTCTGTTAACTATTTATTACTAATTCCTATAATATGCTATAATTACGATATTTTACTATTTATAACGCATCTTCCATAATTACGCAAGATTACGTATAATTTTACAATAAATTAACGATGTGGTTTAACAATCGGGTTTAAAACGGGGAACTTAATCCCCGGGCTTTCAGGGAGCACTCTTGACACGACGTTTGAGCAAACTGCATTCGAGTTTAGGTCAAACGCGCGAAATGGAAATGTCATGGAAATCGCAAGCATCTGAGCGCGCGCGTGTTACGTTGTCGCGTAATGGAATACGTATACATTGACGTATATCGGATTGCGCATCCTAGATGCATGCGCATAGGTCTCTCGCCATCATTCCGGCGCCAATGAGTGGCGCGCTCAACAGCCCTATCTTCAACGGGCATAAATCTCCCTGGTACATCGAGCGAGATTTCGAGGCTGCGTGTAAACACTTATGGGATTCGCTATTTAAACATCCGTAGTTATTTCCAACTGCGTCGTACCTAACCATGGACGGCCCTTTTGAGATTCACTTAAGTGAGTTTACTTACTGCCTGGAGCACAATAATTTCAACACACGGTCAACACTCTAGAGAGATCCAAGCAATTATTTATTGTATCATATTGAGAATTTTCTTTCTTGCTTATTTCTATGGTTTCTATGGTATTGTTGAAACAACTCCGTTCCACTTTGTATTACTTAGGCAAAAGTGTTTTCAAGATCACTTTTCAAGACACTTGGAAATTCTTTTCCATCGGCCAGGCCTGCGTCGAGTTTGGAAAAAAGAAGAAGACCGACGATTCGTCATCCTAATTTTTTTCTATTTCGTATATATTGTAGTTTTCCTTTTATCTTGCACCGTGGCTACTTTCATGAATCTTCATGTTGCATGACATTTTTACATCTCTCCGTTCATTCGTTTCATTGACGTTTATTTAATATGGAACAAAAAGAGTATCCGTGTCGAAAAAGTTTCCAAAATACACTTTTCTCTCATTCGTCATTTTAATGTGTACGAAAAATAGTTTCGAGATTAGTAAACGATATAGAATCTTTATTTTTAATACGTTTCTCTGTTTATCTTAGGACTCATAATTAGAAAGTGGAATGTTTGCATTATCGCGAAATTTCATTCGATAATATAGTCGCTTGGTTTCATAAATAAATTAAATATCATCAGTTTCGACCAGATCATGTGTTCCTTGTAAATAAAATATCCCCCTCGGAGCTTGTATAAAATACAGCTTCGAGTGTCACAGTTAGTTATATGCTCGAAATGTTTGAATACCCATCGCACTGACATTTTTAAAACAGCGAGAAAAATGCGATGCAAAGGTTTTCGACAGTATTTTTTTTTTCTATATATTCAAGCCTGAAAATGTCACTCGGCTGTTGCATCTCGCTGTTCTATCGATGTCGCAACGAACAACACTGATGCGTTTCACGTAGTAATTGTACATAGAAAACGTTAGCAAACAGACAATAACACGTTCCATTTATTTTGAAAATTGACTTATCGAGACAAATTTTGAGATATTAATTTTATTAAAGATGTAACAAGATCTGAAAAAAAAAAACTACAAAACATGTGTAATGTTGCATAGTTGCAAAAAATATTTTAGAAAGTGATCCCGCTAACGTTAAAATGAAGTAGTTCTGTTTTTTTAAAGGTTTTAAAGTATTTTTTTATTGTATAGCAAAATTACACATGCTGATGTATCATTCATAGTTGTGTTTTATTAATTATTATTATATTATTAATTAATATCTGACATTTAAATCATTTTTAATTAAAATTCTGTATATTTCTTTCGCATCAAGTAGACTGTCACATCGATCAATTGAGGCTACGATTGGAAAAAAGTGCACATTCATTTGAAGTTTCTGTTTGATTTTATTGAATACTTGTAGAAGTAACTGTGCAGTTTTATTGATAATAGCTGTATAATTGAGTATTAACATTCTCCCGCTGTTTCGTGCCACTTTTCCAGCCGCAATTGTCATATTTTCCGCGAAGTTAGAGCCACGGATCTAGAGCTACGTTTTCTGTGTGCAACGACACGAGCCTCTAAGAACGATCGTATATTAGTATCGTTTCTCGCTGAGATCATCCTCTCTGACTGTCTTCGAGCTTGCTTGAGCCTTGCATGGCGGGTCATGATTGTTGTTTCAGGCCGCTGCAGCGGCAGCCGCAGCATCACCGTTGTTGAAGACACCACTATCAACGGCACAGCAAGCTACCTACGCAGCTGCAGCAACCTACACGGCGGTGGCTGCGCGCGCATACGGCGCAGCTGCAGCTGCGGCACAACCGGTCGCAGGATATGCCGCAGTCGCGGGGTAAGTGTACCACATTTTCACCCGTGAAACCCCCGTGTATGTACTCTCACTCACCACGAATCCTCCAGGATCTTCTCTCTCTCTCTCTCTCTCTTTTCCTCTTTCCCTCTCCTTCTCTGCCATTCGATATATAGGGCATCCCAGATTTAGCGAGCCAGTTTCCGTCCACGGATTATTTAACAAAACTCGAGTCAGTTTTTTAACGAGAATGTGTAACTTTTAATATTGAATTATTCATCCGCCACTGATCTTATTTAATAGAAAAATCAGTTGGCACGAAGTACGTGCAAAATTAAATTAAAATGATTCTGAATTGATTAAATGTGGCTTGGCAAATTTAGAAATAAGCTCGTGCGATGCCGAAAGAAGCATAGATCTCCGCGAAGAGAAGAAAACTTTTCGAACTCGTTCCTTTTATTTCTCTTATTGTTGAAGAGAGGAAGCTTTGCGACTTTTCTTCGCGAGCACGCTTTTCTCGTAAGATCTCCAGGTTTTTCCTTTGAAATGGCGCTTCATTTATTTTGTACGAATGATTTATATCTCTTATTTAGCGTCTATATCACTATATTATATTTGAGACACTGTTTAATGTTCGTCGTATTATTATAATATTTCTTAATTATACGTACATTTAAATTGATATATTAAAGCAAGAATCGTATAAAATACATTTTGAGAAATATATGATAACTGATCTTTTGCATTCTTAAAAAATACATGACAACTTAATAAATTAGAATTTATCATCATTATTAGGGATCACGCGGAATATTCACACTTTTAACTAGTACTGCACTCCGAGCTCATTCTCGTATAACAATCCTCGCTTGGCACACTCGGAATTATGACGCATATTGTCTTCGTTATCGATATGAAGAGCCATGATTCTCCCATCATAGCTGTGGTCAGTATGCAGATCTCATACCGACACGCAGATATACACGTGTATAGATTGGTGGACGCTTTGAAGTCATCGGCTCGACCCCATTACGAGAGTGAGGTCGAGGTATATATCACGTATTGAACATCGCAATGAATTACCTTCATCCCACTATCCTTAATGATGTTCGCCATCCTCCTTTATATTTGCCAGCAACCTCCACGCTTTCCTCATTCCCCTTTCAGCCTCATATATATATATAAAATGTCAATTCTCCGAAGAAGGAGAATTATATCAATTATTAACAGAACTATAACACGAAAAGTCCGTTCCTTGCAGCAAATCCCGACGTCGCGGACGACCTCTTAGGAGTCGCAGATACGTTCCCGAAATCCAGACCCGTCCCGATAGTCCCGCCGATAGTCCAGACACATCCTCCGAGAAATCTTAAAACGCGCTTAATGTACTTCGCGTCGGTATCCAAAAGAGGAAATATCAAGTACAAAAAAATATGAGTATTTTAGAATCGATTTCATATCTAACGCGTTCCGTACATCGCGCTTCCGGCGCGCTTTCCATGTTTTATTCAATTTCCTCTTCCGATCTTCCTCGCGAAATACAGCGCGGGGAAGATCGGAAGGATATGCAATGTATGAAAATCGTTCGAGTTGAACGAGAAGAGCTCACGGTATTAACAATCGACTCTTTATTGTTCTTCCAGCTACGGGCGTGAATACGCCGATCCCTACCTCGGACATGGCATCGGACCTGTGGCGGGTTACGGGGTAAGAAGGAGAGGAACTTCGATTACGGAGTGTATTTTTACGATTTCATTTAACGGTAGTGCCGTTAAATCGCGCGCATAGATCTACCGCCCTTCCTCCCCGCGCGTGCCCCGCTACCGTATGGGAGGAGAATGAAGCACCCCGTTATTACGCAATAAATAACAGGCGCTAGGAAAAGACCACCTCGGCGCGTTTCACTCACATATGAATTATTAATGCCGAGCATTTTCAACTTACGGGAACTGTGTCGCGGCGAAAGTTAATGGCTCGTGCTCCCATCGCGCGCATTTATCCTCAAACGCGACTACCTATTCGGAGACCGCCGGTCTCAGTTTGCTCGGCGAACGCGAACCGTAAAGTATTGTGTAAATGACGGGGAATGACCGAACGAGATGAGTGCGCGCCGCGCTCCGTAGGGTAGTTTAATCATTTCCGACAAACTCAATTTAACGTGACGATAATTAAATATTTTTTTTTAGCTCGATCTCGTTAGTTTATGAGTAGAAAGTCCTGTGTTACGTCGTGATGTCGTGGCCGTAATTTAAAACCTATTTGGCCTTCGTCTTCGTAAATTTTTCAGTTCTCGAAACAAACGCTCGCGTTTAACACTGAATGCGTCGCGACGGATTTTTTTTACGACGCGTTATTTTGCGCTGTGTGTACCACGCCGAAATTGTATCTCATGAATTTTTATCCTTACAGGCAACAGTATACAGAGGTGGCTACAACAGGTTCACGCCATACTAAATGGATCGTTGATAGCAGAGCGCGAGAGCCTTCCAAGTTATACTCAGCAGAACATGACCAGACACAAGTCGACACAATCATCACCGTCATTTTTTGCCATCATCGAGATCACCCACGAGACGACGAGCCTGAACCCACGCATGCTGATTCGCCGGTTTTACTCCCAACTTTGCGACTCATGAAGACACGAAACCGTTCTCGACACCCTCGACACCGAAATCGCCCGAAATCGGAACGTAACTGCTGTTAACATAAACTAGCGAAACACCGTCAAATCTTCAAATAGTACCTTCGAAAATATATGAACGGCGACTGAAGTGGGCGAGAAAAATCGATCTGTAAACGTAGCGGCAGCGTTGAGGTCGGCGCATCCGAAGTGTCGAGTCGTGTTCGGCCGGAAGTCGCTTCTAAGTCGCCTCTAAGTCGCTCCCCTGCCAGCAGCTATTCGCAGGGGAGAGACTTTCTACCTGACTCCGTTTCCATCCGATCAATCGGTCTGAGCAAATTGAACTGAATTTCGAATATTGAAATTGAAATAAAATTAATGGCAATGGCTTCTCGCACTTTCGAATTTTATTGCACAAAATAATTTCCGATAACACCATCACATTTTTCTATATTTGCCACATATTCTTGACGACACATTTGATATGATTCCAAGCGTTTTAATCTTGCGAAAAGTTTCACGAGTCACTAAATTAAATATAACATAATATAGTAGTAACGTTATATTTCTTTCTCTCTCTGTTGTTAATAATTTTTATAAAACGCATTAATGTGTTGTGATATTACGTCTGATATGATACATGATTCATGCACGTTTGCCCATTTACCGAAATACTTGTAATATAGCTGTACATTTGTAATTATTTCCGCTTAAGTCAACGTTGCACATTACAATTTGCATTCATAGTGTCTAAATTAGCTGATAGATGTTAATAATTTGAGGAGGCTGCTGAATCGAAGAAGCCCTAAACATTTCGCACAAATATTATAGGACAATTTTACGCACATTTATTTGGATGATGGAATTAAGATGAGCAAACGCGCGATTACTACTGAGTGAATATCCACCACAAAATGACACGTAATATTTTGCTATAGTACAAGATGTAACTTCTCTCTGCTATGGCAGCGAGGCATTGACGATTTCAGTCGACACGAATCGACACGAGGTGATCCGAGAAAGCGAGGTCTTTAGGTAGCTAGTTAAAAAGAAAAAAGAAAAAAAACGACCTAGAAAGAAATAAAGGCATCCACGTGACCGGTAGGGTTTCTATGCCAAATATGTGTGTGTATGCGCTTTTGCGCGCGCGTGTGTGTGTGCGTAGGTTTACGAACCAAAACTCTGTTCTCAGTAAACATAGAAAAGTAGCAAAGAACGGAAGAAGACATGGACAAGAAACAGACCTCTGAAACAGTATGCCGGATTCTAATTACGCAGGGTCTAATCAAATTGATTCTTGCACTGCGATTGACGCACTTTTGATCTTCATTTACCTTCGAAAAATTCGATCAGCGTCTCGACCCTGAATTTTCATTTTGCACGCTCCATTCACTGACATTTAAGCTAAATTAAAAGTATTTCCAAACGCAATTGGCAAAATTTCAAACTATTTCAGTCTAATTGTCTTTATGACTTTGCCGAGACATCAAATATCGATACATTTTGTATTTAATAACAATTTTTAAAGGATCTATTTTGTAGAAATTTATTTCAATTTTAATTCTATGAAACTTGAATTTGAGACCCGCATATTTAATTCCATAAAATTATTAATAGTTTGAAAAATTCCGCGCAGCAATTTATCACATCTTTTTACGCATGTAACCATAAATAGAGCGGCGAGTTATGTATTGGAGCAGAATACGGTCATATTGTCTCATCAACGCCTCTTCCCTCTTTTCTCTGAGAAGAATCCGACATTGAGTTCGTCACCGCGATCCCCCCGTGCCCCCTCTTTCTCCAGTGTGTACCACTTATTTATTTAGTTAAGCGACTGAACAGACATGACAATTTCTTTTTTTTTTTACTATAATAAACGTTAAGCAGAGTCCACCTCGTAATCGCTAAGCGCAGAATCTTGACGCCAATGAACAAGAATGTAGTAATAGTACGTAAACGAAGTTGTAGAATGCGTCTCTTGGCGTGATTGATCTTGTAAGGCGCATCGCAAACGCACGAGGCTCTGCCCGTTATGCTAAGTCGGGACCGCTATTAACCGGCAATAAGCAATATTGTGCGAACAACTCTTTAGCGCAAACGTTGCATACTCAGCAGGTCGTTTCGGTTCCTCGATGTCGAAGTGACGCGCGCGCGTGCCTGTAAAACGAACTCGTCTTCTCGTCACAAAGGATGATTAGGTTCAGCTAAATGCCGATCCAATTGTAACGAAATACATCGAGTAATCGGAAACGCCGATACGGATAGATACTTTCTATTAAGTAACGTTTCCTTTTTCGTCCTTTTTAGTTGCGAAGTACGATCGACTTTGTGTATCTTGATATTAAAATATAATTTTTGTATTTACATTTAAGGTTTTATGGAAATTCTTTGCTGAACGCACATGACTTTTTATATAAATATATTTTTCATTCTTGGATCATTAGTTTATTTGTAGATGGTTGTTCTTACAATAAATCGCCGTCAATTTCGGTTTCTATTCAGATCGGCGTTCTCGGTCACTAGATTTTTTTTCTTGTGACACTGCTTCCTGATATACCGGTGCGCTCTATACAGAAAGTAAACGATGCTCTCTTTGAGAGTAAAAAGGAAAAAATGGTACGCACACTGAGTCGAATGAGTGATATATCTGTTAAATTAATAGTTAAGCGAGGATTTATCGTATATATTATACGTAAAAGGATAAGATATGTTGCGCCACGATACGTTGCGTACGACAGGAATAAGGAGACCGTGTATGCGAACTGATGCGACTGAAGTGCGGAGAGTAAACAGTAGAAAGAAGACAGGAGGGAAGAGCAAGAATATAAGAAGTGTGAAATAGCCAAATATGACAAAGATGTTTTAGAAAGTACGGCAGGTAGTTTGGCCGTCGTTACGTTTTAATCTAATCTTCAACTAGGATTAGGCTAAGCTCTAGGACCTCGGGAGCGCTCGAGGCAGGACGACAATTCTCTTTTTTTTCTCTCGCGAACGTCGTGTACATGTACATAGATCAACATAGATTTTTCGAGCACAAAGATCGTGGAGGAGCGTGCCGAGGAAACGCACTAATTTAGAAAGTACTCTAAACAAGCAAGCAGAAGAAACCACTCAGACATACTCATGATTCTCGTAACGTTAAATTAATGAACGTAGACTAATTAACTGATTGCGCAGTAAATACGTAAAACTAGGACGGATTTTGTCGCGGGACGTGATGTACTCGTCGTACGTGAATGACGTGACGGTTGTAGAGTCGTGCGAAACGTGCGTTTGGAGGAAAAAAAAAGAAATCGAACGAATACGTTTGGAAATAGAGATTTTTCGCAGACGCACTTACCGCGAGTGAGAGCAAGCACACGAGAAAGATTCTGCGAGGTTTATCTCCCTGTATATTGTACACTGTAATTACAATTTATACTTACTCGTAATCGAGACCTTTATCGATAGGCTATTACTATTAGTGGCTAGCGTAATAAGTCAAGCTCAAATTAGCAAGACGGGAGAGCCGCGCGAGACACTTTTTTCCCCCCGCGATTTTTCGTCGCGTCCCATCTTCGTCACGAATGCACAACTTCCTTTCCTCGATTCTCCCTTTCTTTATGCGCGTTACCGTTGCGAGCAGGCCTATCGTACAAGATGTTCATAGAATCTAGAGGCTAGATCAGCTCTCTCTTTCTCCCCCTCCCGCCTCCTCCCTCCCTCACATCTCTCTGGTGTTCTTCGTTCCTCCTTTTCGACAATGAAAGAATGTCTCGTTCATGAATTTTATTTCTTAATTAAACTAATTTGCTTTCTATTGGAAAATAGGAATTGTAAGAGAATTAATGGGAAATTCTTTCGGCTGTTAAAAACGTTATCTACAAAGAACGCGACATATCTAGATGATAATATAATTTACGAGAAAGTTTAACGACTTCTGCCAAATTTCCGCACGTTTACGTATCTCCATGTCCCGAAAATTCCTCTCTACCGTCACTTTAGTCTTCGATCTTCGTCGAGCGTACCTTCCTTTCCGGATTAAAGAGCTCGTTTCTGCAAACCGATTCATATTTTAAATAATTCATGAAAGAGATTCATGACATCTTTTAAAATACGGATTAGAACGAAGTGCAAAGAGGATCTCTTCTATCCTGATAAATTAGCGCCGGATGGCAAACGAGGGTCTCGAGCCTGAATTTACAACTCTATAGACGATTGATTTTTACCCTCGATGATGAGACCCAGAGCTAGTGGAATCGCGCAATGTAACATAACTCAATGATACGCACCGTACATTATACGTATAATTAATTAATGATAAATACCGTAAAGGGATTTTTAAATGAATCTAGATGAATACATGACTACATAATGACACATCTTACAAGCAACATATCCTAGGTATTTGAGCAGGACGCTGCCGGGGGATCTCCCTCTTGTCGTACGATTGTAGGATCGACACGAGAATGAACGTATAATTTGATCGACGTGTGTCCTAAAGCGAAAACTGTCTCGAGCGGACACGGCAGCGTCGTGCTATTCTTTTCGAATTATTGCAAGAAAAATTAATGAAGGATGTTCCATGACATTAGGACGTTATTATTAATGATATTTCTAGTAACGCGTGCGTGTAAAGTTTAATGTATCTATATATGAGACATGATGCGTGCGTGTGTAACGTGTGCTGTGTGTGCGTGCGTGCGTGACGGATGAGCGAGAAACTCGTACCCCTTCTCCACAAATTGGTGAAATCAAGAGCACGAAATTAATCGTTATTACAAGGTAGCCCGAAAACAAAATAACAAATGAAGGAAAAATGCCCAGTGACATTTGGATCGCTGAGAAAACTGAAACAGCTAAAATTGCCACCTGTTTTTTCCGCTTCTCTCACAGATGTAAAAAAAAAAGAAATCCACAAAGAGAAACGCCGTTGATATCTCTGTGTCTCCTTGCGGATTTCCTCCTCGTACCGCGCATAAATGATTTGTGAGGGCCGAGAGTTTAGCGCAATAGCGAGCTCGCAAGAGAAATTAATGGAAATCGGTAAAAGAATAAAAAAAGAAAAGAGGTATAAGAGAGCAGGAATATATGGTCAACTCGATGAACTTTATTTGCGAAATATTGATAGGAATATAAGGTGTGACACGTGACACCTTTATCATTGTCTGATTTGATGATATTTTGTAAGTCTGGACCAGTTGTTAGGTTCTTATTAATCCCATAGCGACTTCTTATGGCGTATTTTCTCTGTATATTGTCAATGTTTATTATTAAATATTTTTCAAATAAAATCAACGCGTTCTTCTTTCCTACCTTCATATCCAAACAATTGTGCAAAGATTTAAGGTTCGTCATCGTGTTCAAAGTCTTATTAAAAGCTTAGTTAGATTTAGATTTGATAGATATTTTAACTAGAGATCCAGGCGTTGCGTTATATATATATAAATACCGAAAATTACGAAAATATCGTCCGAATTAGTTCATGTCCACTTAACGAGGACTTGCTTTTTCAAAATTTTCGTAATATTAATGACTTCAGATTTGTACACGCGTTCTTTTTTATGTATCTAAATACGAAATAAGGAAAACCTAATACGGATTTAAAATATAATTTTTAAAAATTGCAACCACATTGGAACACGACGACGGAATAATCACTGTGACTAAGTGATCAAATAAATCTAACAAAATGACCTAAAAAATATAACTAAAAAAGATAGATAATTTTCAAAAGATCTACTTCTTTAAACAAAGTAAATGAATTATTTTGCATTTATTAATGCTTCCGTTACATGAAATCTGACAATAAATAATATTAGAATAACATAAAATAATGAGCGACAAAAGTAAAATTCTGTATATTGACCGAACAAGCTGCAACTTTGCAAAAAAAGTCTCATTATTTTATGCATTTTCGCAAAACATTCAACAATGCTGGAATATTAAGTATTACACACTACACAAAAAAAGTAAATTTTACGAACTTAAAAAGTCGCAATACTATAACAATATAATATAGTGATAATCTTTTAATGACTCTTTACATGATATTATTTCTTATGTATTTTAACAAATTAGTCGACAACAAACAATATTAGAATGATTCTATAATTTAGGACAACGAGAAAGAAATAGCACACATATTGACAAAGCACAGAAGATTAGAAATTCGACAGATCTCAAGCAGAAATGTATATGTACATATATTTTATTCCCTTTACTAATTTAACAAATTAACTAATAAATTAAATACATCTCACTTTTACACAAAAAGCGATAAGTGCCGTCGAGTCGGGCACCGTTTAGCGGAAAGATTATTATATTAGCTCTCAAATGTGACGAACGACAAGAATCTCGAGGAATACGAAAGTTTATTGTAACATTGTTATGTGTCCGTTAATGCAAATCATGCTCTCTCAAACGAGATTCGACAATAAAGAGTTTTAAAATGCTGTTGCATACGTTTTACATTTCAGTATGCGAAA